TGTGTGTGTGTGTGTGTGTGTGTGTGGGTGTGGGTGTTCTCTGTGGGTGAGTCTGAGTATGTGTAAGTGTTCTTATGTTCGCTATACAGAACTCACAAAATGACTCAGCCAGACTGCTTCGTCGGACTTCCACCAACTCATCAGGAGGTTGAACCCCGACAGTCTGCCCAAGATGAACTGTACTGATGGCCAAGTGCTCACCACATTTGTGTGTGTGTGTGTGTGTGTGTGTGTGTGTGTGTGTGTGTGTGTGTGTGTGTGTGTGTGCGTGCGTGCGTGAGTGCGTGTGTGCATCCGTGCGTGGGTGTGTGTGTGCGTGCGTGTGTGTGCGTGTGTGCGTGTGCGAGTGCCCGTGTGTCCAACGTAGAGCGAAGTTGTAGTCGTGCATAGCAGCGTAGAAGTCAGTCGAGTAGCTTGAGTGTCGAAAACAGGCGTCGACTCTAGAGTAGCACAGAGTAGCGTAGAGTAGCTCAGTCGAGTAGCTTAGAGTGTCGAACAGGCGTCGACTCTAACTCGCCGTCCAGTACACCTGCCCTCAAGTCCGCAGTGCGCGTGCCCCAAAAAGTAGTTTCTATACGTTGTAGCGGCGCTGGACTGGTAGCGCGTCACGCGCAACCCCGGTACCGAGTGCGGTGGGGCCGGTAACATGCTTTGGTACCGACGCTGGCACGTGGGCCCGGTACAGACCCTGGCGCAAAGCCGCCCGCAACGGTTCAACTTCTAAGAGCAAACGATCAGCAGACGATCCGGACCGTTGCAGAGTGTAAAATCGCAGGGCCCCGATCGTTTGCTTGTCACAGGCCGAAAGTTAGCGATAGTTATATATGTAGGGATCACAACAACTTCCCCTATTCCACCCAGATGAGTAGATCCAAAGTCATAGCAACTTTACCTGTATTGCAGAAAAGAATTCTCAAGATTTGATTACCAAGGAGTAGAAGTAATTAAAATAAAACCCCCAAATTGGGCTTCTGTAGCAGTTATACTCTATATATACGATTTTAATTATTTACGATTACAATGTGCTTATGATTTATCTCCAGGAGGTATGTTAGCTAGTGTGTATTATCTTACTAAACTAGAAGAAAAAGCAGATCAGCCTCAAGAAATATGTATTAAAGTACTAGTACCAATCCACCAATGAAACAGTTTTGCTTGTGAAGTCAATATCTATTCAGAACCTTACCTTTTTTTTGTCCATCAGTCAAATGCATCCTGGGCAGGCTTTCGTGGTCGGAACAACTGGCTGACTGAAGCATACATCTACGGGGACCTCACGTAACAACTCGGATGCGTCCCAGTAGTATCTGGAAAAACGCTACCAAGGTGGACACCGAGCACCGCCGGTGACAGCACAGGCTCGGCAATGAATTTTGCTCATACAACTGCAATGAATTGCAGTTTCTAGTGCTTTCTACTGCGGGCTGTACACTAATTTTGGCTGCCGTGTGCCAATCATGAGTGTTCCGGGACTTGATCCCATGACTTGTTTGTTTGTTTGCTGTGTTTTTTTTGTTTGTGCAAGGAATATGAGCGAGGGCGATAGACAGAAACCAAGTTGCAAAATCACGAAGAAGTCCAGATAGTCATGTACCAAGCAGAGAGCATAAATGCACCAAGATTCCATCCAAATAAGAGCAAAGCAGTGAACTCGTGTGCCAATGTTATCGCCCTCAGGCCCCACCAACAGAGTATCCAATGTCACTCTTCTCTGTCTGTCGCCCAGCGCCCGGCCTACTCTACTGCGCGTATTTAGCCTATCTACATTCTCGCAACAGGATCACTCTGACGTTGAGCACCAATGTGCATGACGCCAACACCAATGCCAACCTCCCACATACACCAGGTACGCTCTCTCGTCTCCCCTCGTCAGACCTTGACCACCCACTCATGCGCCTCCTCCCCGAAGACCCCCGGCGCCCATTACCCTCATGCGCCCACTGCAGCCCGGCTATGGCTGCGCGCACCCGCTGCCCTGCAGCGCCCCTCTCACCTCTTAGCGCCCGCGTGCGCCCCAGCCGGCAGCGCTAATGCAGACACTTGCACAGCAACGCAGCAGCGTGTCCGCGTTGCCTGCCTAGGCCAGAATGCCAGCCTCTGGCCAGCGGCCTTTCCTATATGGAAGTCGCGTTCTGTTTGGCTGTGAGGGCCTGGTTGAGGAAGCTCTCAGTAGCTTCCAGTTGGGCCCCCGTGTCTGCGCCCAGGCCCTGTCCGACAGTTGGGGGCCTGGGCCCTTTCTGGTTGGGCACGTCCACTCAGCCTCCAGGCTCCAAGTGTTCGCCGTATTCTCATTGGCTCGCTGGGCCTCTGTGATGACAATGCTGCGTTCTGATTCGCCCACGGCAACTTCGTGATGAATCGGCCTCACACTGCGTGTGCCCAGGGCGCAGCCACCCAGCCCTGGGCTTCAACTCCTTGACGCAGCTGCTGTTTCTGGAAGGAGCCCAGGGAGAGGCTCACGTTGCTCTTCAACCAACTGGCGTGCTGCAACTGTCTGATACCCACATTGAAAAAAGCTGAGATAAGGGCCTCTCTTGGATATTCAGGCCCGCCTTCACTTAGGGCGGGCACGAGGCTTGCTGGGGCCACAGCCCAGTTCATGTGCATGTCGGCTAGGGCCCCTTGAGAACACATTCCTAACATTTGCTTGCTTTGAGCCTTGCTGGGCTCAATTCTCAGACTGGACTGCAGTAGTCTCTGTTGGCTGGTCTTAGGCCCTTCGGCCTTTTTTTCTGTCCTTTTTCCTCATACGTTTTAGCAGGCACCTAGGCCCTCCTCCTTTCCCTGCTTTTCAGTCTAAATTCAGTCCTAGGCAGTAGGCTGTCCATCCTAGGCTGTAGGCTGTCGGGTTCTAAGCTGAAGTGGTCTACAAAAGTGTCGAGGGCAGAGGGGAACAGGATTCTGCTTGTCATTTTTTTTTCCCACGAAGTGCTGCTGGAGGTTGCGTGGGGAGTGCAGCGCTATTTTGCTATCGCAGGTCACCTTCCTCTTGGTGATGACTGGCGGCCATAGCTGGGACAGCCAGCGTCGGTGGTAGCAGCGCTGGGCATCAGGCCCTGTGCGCTGTAAGACGCTTCCTCTTACCTGTGCTGTTGGGGATAGGTTCGCCATCGAAACCCTTCTTGCAAGTGTTTGTCGAAGTGGCAGCCATCTCCTTCTTCTTCAAGTTGGAGTTCTTCTTCTACCTCTAGGGAGCTACCCTCCCCTGTTGAGCAGACACTTCATCTGCAGTGCGCATCGAATTTGGACTCGCGTTGGGTTCAGCTGGGTTGCGGCGATTGATGGGCCTGATAGGTTGGGTGAAGTCCTGCACCATAGCTGTGAGCTCGAGGTTGCGAGGAAAAAGAAGTCTCCTTTACTTGATGAAACTCTGTAAATAGTTGGTTCGTGGACGTTGATAACGTGGTTGGGATCCTGGGAATTTTGTGCTGCTGATTGAACTTGGAGAGACGGTTTTAAGTTTTAACTAGAATTGAATTAAAATTCAATTCTATTAATGGATTTGTGAGCTTCCGCTGTGCATTCTCCTCATCTGGTGTGGTGTGGTTTTCTCCCCCCAAGTCTACTTGTCATTGCACGTGTACGGGAACGTGTGAATGCCATGCTGGATTCGTTTTTAGTCAGGCACATAACACAATAGCCAAGTCCTGATTGGTCTGGGTAGCCAGTAAAAAGTTTACCATTACCCAGCAAATATATTTTCAGAGTGAGAATTGGCCTTTACAGTTTCTTTTTTTTTTTTTTTTTTTTTTTTTTTCCCTTTTTCAACCAACGCAGAGGCCCCTTCTATTCTGGGGGGCAGCAGTCCGGTTACTTATCCCCGGCAAGCATGTTTGTACAAAGACAGTGGGGGAAGAAAGAAGATAGGAGGGTCAGCCTAATCCTTGTGGCACTAGCCCCCTGAGCAAGGGGGGGCAGCTTCTGTGCGCCCCCCCCCCCCAAAAAAAAACCTTTGTCCGTCCACGATGGATTGGCCTACTGGCCAGGAGGCTTACTAGCAGCACCCAGTCACACAGTAGGGTAATCGCCGGGGGACTGGCGCGGGGGAGAGGCGTTCAGGGCTGTCCCTGAGGCCCCTTGGCGATCATTAACTGTTTGCGTGTCAATCCAGCCTTGCCTAGCAGGGCATTTACAGTTTTACTTGTTGCTATTTTAGTATTTTATTTTATTTTATAATTTTTATTTTATTTTTGGAAAAATAGGTGGGTCATGGGACAAGGAAGTTGCTTTGGCGGTTGAGTAGAAGCGCCACGAAGTAGTAGCGGATGGGTGCATAGTACTGCATACACTGCATAGTATAAAACAACTCGTTGACAGTGGTTGTAGTGTAGCCAATCCTCAATCTGAGTGGTGTATGAGTGGAAAGCTTGAGTTCCTCCGGTGTTGGTTGAGTGGGAGGCGGTGAAGGTGTTGATAGCGCCATGACATGAAAGCTCATATAATCGTCTTCTTTTTTATATATCATCTTTGTTTTTGTCCAACGCCTAAATAAATAAAATACTAGTAACTGGGAGCTTTTGCTCCTCTTGACCTGAGCAACAGAACAGAAGGGTCGACTTTGGTAGTGTTCGTTGGCCAGTGAGGTCACTGAGGTGTTCCTAATGCTGTGAGAGTGAAGTCCGAGGATGCCTTTTATGCAGTTTTGAATCACCAAACACCATCCCCAGACCCATCCATATATGTGGAGAATTAAAAAAGGTGCAAGGTTGGCCACACATGTGTGGTTAAGTGCCAAGCACCCACACACCTGTCTACCCTTGGAGGGCACGCTTGTGCAATCAGAGAAAGGGAGCGGGGGCAAGAAATGACACTCACCCACCTGCATCCGACATCCAAAAACAACCATATGTCACAGCATATCTCATCACGGAGTGCGTGGGGTGACATGCTTATTGCTGTGAGTCCGGTTGTTTGAGATTTTAATTCAGGAGAAAGAAAATGATTGTCATTGCTTGTTGAGTTTGGAGCCTGTGCGATCAATTTTGCACTCCAGACATTACCTCCCTAAGGCGATTACACCGATCCTCTGTCCTTCTCAGTAAGCTTGCATAACGGCGCCGTGCCTCTCTCCTGGGCTCGGTGCTACTGCTTCCACCGAAGGGTGAATGCTTTGCTTCGTGCCGATGGATTGACGGTGAATTGTCGTGTTGTTGGCTCAGTCTCTCCAACTCGCTTCCCCGGCCAGACTTCCCCCATTGCCCCTCTGATGAGTCCCTCTCCATCTCAGAGTCATGTGCCTGTCTTTCTCCTCCTCCTTGACCATGTATACCAAACCCAGAACCAATTGAGCTCTCAGCTGAATGGTTAGACCCCTTCCTAGATGTTTGGATTGAGGAATGATCCCAGTCGGAAACTGGCGAGTGGCGGTGATGGAAATGTGGACTTTGCACGGGTGGTTGCGGAAAGCCCGAGCTCTTCTGAATGTCATCCCAAGCGGATGCGGTAGCTGTCGGAGCAAAGGTGAAGTCTATAGAGGCCGGATGATGAGACAATGGTGAAGGATGGTGGTTAGCGAGTGGCGATTCTGCAACATGCTCCCACCGTTGATTCTCTGAAGGCCGGTATGGATGTTCTGCTGGCTTGGTCTGTCTCCTCTCTGAGTCCGTTTCCTTCATGATGGTGAAGTGGTGACAAATCTTGGTTCCCGAACAGGAATCGTCCGATTCATCATCCACGCGCCGACTAGCTTTCCTTCTGCATGTGTTTGATGGATAAGTCGCTTCCTGTGGCCTTAGGGGCAACCTGACATCCCTACCGACACCATAGGAGAGAGGTAAGTTGCCCTTACCAGGAGTTTTGGGTATGGGATGGGCGGCTTTCAACCCAGAACTTTTCTTCGGGATGGTTGGGGGCCTTGACTTGGTGTCATGTTCTGCGTTGCTTGGGACGCGTAGTTCAGTTCCTTGCTCTTCCTGTGCAAGGTAATCTGCAGGCAAAGATGCACAACCAACCAGCAATGGACAGAGGATGGACATTTAAAACTTTGTCTACTTATGAATCTTATGATGCTAAAAGTACTCGTCGTGTCCTTTTGTAAATCCGTTAAAATTGGAATGATATAGAGAAGATTAGCATGGCCCCTGCACAAGAATGAAACACACAAGCCAAAAAAGGAGCCACAGCAAAAAAAAAAAAGGACGTATTTGTTGGCAGTGGACAGGGAAGTTTGAATCAATCTAAGACAGCAAGCATCCTCCTAATTATGCTGGAACACTAGCTAGCACCGATTCAGCAAATTCAGCAATCACGCAGGATTGGACAAAAGATAACTTGAACGCAGACAATAGTTCGGAATCGCGTCCGCCCAGATCACCGTCCGAATTCGCTTTGGACTACGGCGTGGAAACAAACAAATGCTTGATGTCCGTACAGTGCAAATGAAATTAAAAATTGAAAATTGAAAATTGAAAATTGAAAACTGAAAACTGAAAACTGAAAATTGAAAATTCATTTTCCCTCTTGGATCTGGTCTGGAATTCCGAGTGGATGCTCGGCCAAGACATTGTTTGGCTCTTTGCATCGCATAAATATGAGCAGAGGACTCGTGCTCGTTTCCCCACTGTATGCGCCATTCACACCCTGCACACCCGGATGATGCAGGCATGCAGCTGTCGATGTTGAGATCACTGGTTCAATTCTGTGATCCTGGTTCGATTCGGTACAGGATCACGGATGGATGAATTCACGGCACATAGCGATCAGTACTTGGTGCAGTGACGGGACAGGGCAGGGCATTGTACTTAGAATTCCATGGCTTCATCTACAGAGGGTCATGCGGATAACGTGTGGCCCCCGCCTGCAGGATTTAAGTAACCATGCATACTCTGTTTGATGATTGGTTTTCAAGAGTTAGCGCTGGAATCACCTATCACGATTGTCAATCGAAAAAGAAAGAATTTGATACGGGGGGGATGGACATCTATGCGCGCCAAATGAGGTGGCATGGGACGATGTAATCAACTCGGGAAGGGGGCGGGGGGGGGGGGGGG